CTCCTCCTCTTCCTTTGCTCAACACATACAGATCCTGACAGAGCCGTGGTTCATGAAATAACCTGCAATAATGTCCAAGAACAACAAATAGAAAAGCTGGACGCCATGTCGTCCTCACCTTGCAGCAACTCTGCAGCAAAAGAGAATTTGCTTCGGGATTAACAGTTTAGATGATTCTTGCAGGGATTAATTGATACAGGAGTCCTTCCAGACAGATGTTGAATGCGCACTGATGCTCTCATAAAACACAAGTTTATTTGCAGCATCCCATGAAATCATGGAGCATCAAATGGCAACCAGTATACTTACCACCCGTCCAATGGATTAAGATAAAGGTTAAAGGGACCCTCTGACCATTAGGTCCAGTCCATGGCCGACTCTGGGGTTGCAGCGCTTCATTTCGCTTACTAGCCAAGGGAGCCGGCGTACAGCTTTCCAGGTCATGTGGCCAGCATGACTAAGCCCGCTTCTGGCGAACCGGCAGCACACGGAAACGCCAATCTCTCGGCAGCGGGAGGCCCATTAGCTAAAGTGGTGCTTCAGGTTAAGTACAGTTTCAGGTTAAGAACAGACTTCTGGAACGAATTAAGTACTTAACCCGAGGTACCACTGTATATCATAATCATTACAGATATGAAATGATGTATATTGTTTCTGCTCAAATTGTTGAGCATGACTAAAATGTATTGTATCAATAACAATGTTAATGTATAGGGAGAGGGAAATGAGGTTATATACTTCATGCCCACCAAACTGCTGTAAACTATTCTGTTCTGCCATATGCCTTGTTATTCATGTAATCAATAAAATCACACCAAGCTGCATAAAAATGGTTGTTCCTTTTGGCCTCTTGCCACTTTCACTTTTTGCCTCTGTCTTTCCAATAACGCTGTTTGCCAACTTGCATTATACCATTGATCCATAGTCAGCAATCAAGATGCTGGACTGGAAGGGCCATTGGCCTGATATAGCAGGCTCTTCCTGGGTTGTCACCAGAGGGCTGTTGGCTGCGGGTTTCCAAGAGCATACCAAGGAAGGAAGGGGGTCCTGTGGCTGGATTTCTCCACATAGCTAATTTAGACATTACATGTAACTGGTGGTGTAACTAATCCATAACATGGCTCCTTTTAAAATTTTTCACCTATGATCTTTTTCTTTTACTTCTGTATTTTTTGTATGTTCTTTTTTCCGATATCTTTCATTTCACTCCTTTATTGTGAATAGCATTTTATAGAGGTATAAATAACTGTAAATATGAAAAGAGACAAAAGTATTCTCCAATTTTTTTCCTTGGTTATATGTATTTTCTTCCTTTTGTATTTTCTTTTGTTGAAAATATGTATGTTTTCTAATTTGTACTTAATAAAAATTAAAAAATTAAAACAAAAACAAAACATGGCTCCTTGCGTTTTCCATTGATTTTGCTCCCCCCCCCCCCCCCGGTAAAGTCCAG